CCCGAGGCGCCCCCAGCACACTGGGCGTTCCCAGCCGTTAGGGCGGTCCTGCACTTACTGGAAGACTGCGGAAACCCACCATTGGCAGAAAACACGTTCTTGAAATGCAGAGCGAGGCGCCCAGCATCCCTCCAAGGCCCCCTCCGGCCCCCAAATGCTAAGGCAGCGCAGGCCCAGGCGGCCGGTCCCGAGTCCCAGCCGGGCCCCTTCACCGGGAGGCTGTCCTTTCTGTGGGCCTGGTGGCCGGCAGAACCTAGAATGTACAACAGAGGACGTGGTGGAGCTCAAAGCCGTCCAGAGCCGCCCCCTGTGCTTTCTTCCGGAAGATTCCATACGTTTCTGCTGTCTGTGTGATGCCGTAGGCCGGGCAGATGGACAGAGGTTTTGGAACTTTCCCGGGGGCGGGATGGAGCTTTGGCAAAGCTGGGCAGCGGTGCTCGAGCCCTCCGGCAGCTGCGGCGTCGAGGTGACCGCCAGTCTGCTTTCCTGGAGCTCCTGCTCCCACGCTCAAGCCAGAAGGTGGCTGTGGCTGGACTCACACCCAAGAATGAGCGGCCCAGCTCGCCAGGTCTCCGGCCCTCCTGGACGCTGCTCGCAGTGAGACCTCACCTGATTCCACACAGATTTTGTCCACTTCATTCCTCCAGCACACGCCAGGCGTCACCCCCTCCCTGGGGACGCCTCTCACGTCACGCCACGGGGCACCCCCGGGCGCGTCGTTCAGACACACACCGGCCGGGAGAGCGGGGCTTTCCTCCCACGGGACACCCCAGCCCGCAGGAGGTGGCGCCCAGGCCCGACGCCCCTCTCTGTATCCCTCAGGGACAGTTCTGAGACTTAGCCCCAGGGCCTCACAGAAGGGCCGTGTGGGGTCCACCACCTTAGGCCAAAGTGGCCCGGGGGCCTGGCTCGCTGGCCCGGCCTCCTCTCCCTCGCTCTCCATTCCTGCTACCTGAGGTCCACGCCAAAGAAACCGTGCTGGGAGCCACCCGCTACCCTACGTCTGTGCGCAGGAGGCACCGGGCTTGGGCTGCGCCTGGCATCGTCCCCACCCTGCGCTGCTGTGACGCTGTCGCCTCCGCCCTGCCGGCTCGCGGCCCCAACAGTGCCCCAACGGCCGCGCCACCGAGCAGGGCCCTGTGCATGTCTCTGCTCCAATGGCGGCCCCTGGGACAGCTTGGCCAGGGCCGAGGGGCCCTCTCCCCAGATGGCTGACCGTGGCTGGCACGGGGGAGACCGTGGGCAGGGAGCCCGGGAAGAGGCGGCCCCAGCCGGGTCCTGTGCCACGCCAGGCTCCTCACGTGGCCCCGTGGGCTCCTGACAGTAGGGTGCCGGCTTCCAGGCAGGAAGAGGCCGAGGCCGGTTGGCCGAGGCAGTGGGAGGCCAGGCCAGAGTCCGGGCAGGGAAAGGGAAGCGGCCTCACAGTGCGGAGGGGGGAAGCGACGTCAAGCGTTTTGGCCCACCACGTTGGCACAGGACTCTTGCTGATGCATGGATTAATGGCTGGTGACCTGAGCAAGCTCATAGATGGGGGCTCACTCGTCGTCCAGCGGTCAGCTCGCTTCCCGACTCAGCCACTCTTACCTGCCTGCAAGCTCGGATGAAGTAGTACCTTGATTCTGCATTGCATGAGCGGGAAGCCTGACTCGCAGCGTGCGGAAGGGGTCCACTCCACCGCCTCACCGTCCGGCTGGCAGAGGGGACTGGCCCGGGTCGCGGCCGGGCTTCGAGCCTTTACCCCGGAAAGCGCCCTCACGCGGGGCAGCAGCCGCTGGCGGCTATGCAAAAGCTGGGCCCTGGGGGACGCGGGGTGCGGCGGGG